CATTATCCACTAACGATATTATCACAGGCAGAATATGAATTTTTATCCCTATTCCACATTTCCAACTTTCCTTCTTCCTACGTGCAAATTCTTTGAAAGAATTCAGAGCTCTTTATTCTCAGGACTGAGTAATTTTTCCCTGGCTGCATTTTAATTTTAGAGAAAGGAAGCCTGATGTGATGAACAGTCACTGAATGGAAATCCTGGGGCTCTTAATTAAACCAGATAAGGTATCTCACCCTGGGAAACACTCTCATTGGCTTCTTAGAAACTCATTTGTATTCTCTAAGAGATGTAATTCATATTTCCTTATCTCATTCCTGAATCAAAAGTTACCATTTTGCAAAAGATAATCTTTGCCCAAATATATTTTCTTTCTAGTATTCCAAAGAGTCTCTGATGGCAAGGAGTATGGAGCTCTGTCCTTGAGTGGCTCTGACTCCGTCCTTCCTCCAGCAGCTGGGGAGCAACAAGTATCTGCTCTCTTCCCAGGCTTCCAGCCCCTGCCCCATGCTCTCCCTTCCAAGACCCCTCCCCCAAAATAAGGGAAGAGAAATCAGCTGCTTTTTATTTATGAGCTGTTACTGTGGTTTAAATATTGCTAGCTGTGCATGGTACTTCTCTTAAACTTTGTGCTCCCATGCAATAAGCACACTTTTATGAGGGCTATCTCCTTAGACAGCCTCCACTGACCCTCATTCTCTGCTTCCAGGTCTCTGCCTAGACACAGACCCGCTGTTGATCATCAGTTGGACAAATGAACTCAGGCTCGGCTTTGTACAGGTGTCTTGTTTCCTTCCCTTTATCCTCTGCTCCGCCATGTTTAGCGTTACGGTTTTTTATAAGGGAACCATGAACTCAAGAGTATTGGGCATAGTCTGAGCCATTAGTAATATGGCATTTTTCTTACTTCTGTTATAGTCTCGGGATAGACCTCCTTCAATGAGATGTTCAAAGGAAAACTGAGTGACTGGCAGGTCAAGATCCAAGCGTTCCCAGGCTCCCGGTCCTTGGCCTGGGCGCTGGATTTTAGGACACAAATGGAGGAATAGACATAGATGAGGTTAGAGAGGTGAGTATATTCCAGAAAATACTGAGCATGCTTGCCAGCCCCAAGGGACCGAATTGTCCCACAGCACAGTGCTTCTCAGAATGGGATCTAACCACCCATATCAGAGCTTTGACATATTTATTAAAGATGTTGATTCTTGAACCCTATTCCCAGATCTACTGAATCAGAATTTTTGTGGCCCAGGACCCCACAGATTTACAAGACGCCTGGGTCATGCTGCACACTTTTCCATTAGTTGGAAAACACTGACACCATTGACTGAGAACCTAAGCAGAGATGTGACATAATCAGATGGTCACTTTGGTTGCACTTTATGGAGTGAATTTTAAAAACTGGAGACCAGACAAGTGATTATTGTAATACTTCAGGTGGGAAATGATGAGGCGCTGAGCTAAGCCACTAGGAGTGGGGCTGAAGTAAGAAAAGGAAGTCAACCCTAGAGTTTCTGGCTTGAGTTACTGAGTCAATAAAGAATAGTTAAAGAATTTTGGAGGCAGTGTAATTTGGGGAGGAAAATTGTTAGTTGCTTTAGACACGTTGAGGTTGAGGGGTCCGTGGGATATCCTGATGGGAGCTGTCCTGGAGGAAGTTGGATTGATGTCTGGAATTCAGGACAAAGTCTGTGCAAAAGATACAAAGCAGTAGGGAAGGAAATCCTTGGCATGGATGTGATTTCAAGGAAAAATGGCGAGCAAAGAACAAGCCGTAGGACACAATCTCTAAGAATATCAACATTAAAGGGCCGTGCAGAAAAAAAGTTGCCCGATGAATAGGGCTCATCATTAGCGAAAGTATTTTTTTACTGTTTTAGGTCAATTTAAATTTTAATTAGACACAACATTTTGGTGGGTAGTAATTGGTAAATACAGTGCTATTCGTATTCTATCCCAAGTTATTTAATAAATTGACTCAATAATCATGATGATATTCATGCAATTAGCCAAAGTCAAAAGTTCCAGTTAGAGGCAGGAAGAGAGAGGATTGAGGTGGGCAGGAGAACAGCTGTATTATCAGTGTGAGTTCAGGTGATGAGGACAGGAGAGAACCTTCCTCGCAGGGGCTCAGGTCCCTCCACATTGAGAAAGTCAGTATTCTTTCAGTAAAATCGCCTCCAGTAACAAATGTCATTAGCCAATTCTTTCAGGTGTAAGGATAAGAAAAATCAAAAAGATATCTTGGAAGGACAAAGTTACACCACACATTTGAGTGGGGAAAGGAAAGATATTTGTTTAAATAACTCTTGGCTGGAAACAAAACAGATTTCCCCTCTTCCCTCTTGATGTGGATATTGTTGCTAATAATTCACAAAGTATTTTCTTATTTGTACTTCAATTCTCCCAAGTAAATGTTTAACCATGACTGTGCCTTCAGGAAAAAAAAAAAAGAAGAAGAAGAAGAATTTACAGTGACTACTTTACCAGGCCCCAGAATGTTCTAAGTGCAAGATTGATCGCAGCCCCTTTGTTCTGCAGGAGCGTGTTACAAGGCAGGTGTTCTCATCCTTATTTTACGGAAGAATAAACAGAGGAGTATGGAGGCCAAATGACCCCATCAAGGTCACTCACCTAGCAAGAATTCACACCCAGGCACTCCTGTACCTGTTCCCTTTGCCTATTATTTTATACTACTTTTTAGTTCATAAGTCTTAGTGGTTATTAACAAATGAAGCCTTTTAGATTATCCAGGTACTTTTGAATTTCTCAGAGGAAGCCAAATGTGGTCAACAACTCTGAACTGCCATGGAGCTTTATGACAAATAATCAGTGAAGCAGAATAACTCATAAATGTTTGTTCTTGATATTGGGCTCCATAATATATGTGCATCTCATTATAAGACCTTATGCATATTTATCACTTTAGATGGTTTTCACCTGTCTGGTTTTCACTAGATTATAAATTCTCTGAGGCTAAGGAGTGCATACTCCCAGTGTTTGGAGCCCTAGCTTAGGAAATCAGTGGAAGTCCAATGATGCATTTTTAATGAATGAGTCAAGTAATGAAGGGGAGCTCAGAAGAGCTCACAAAAATATTTTCCAGTTATTTTCCAAATTGCCTGAGTTGGAAAATCTAAATCTAAAATATGTTTTAGGGCTTGGTATGTATTTCTCTTTTAGGAGATGTTTTAAATATATTTTTATAACATCAAGGGAAATGTATCTATATGGGCATGATTCATTTTGAAAGGACCCTATGGGATTTATAGCACTAAGAGCCTTTTTTTAAATTAAAGAGAAGAACAAAAATTCTTGCCCAAGCCAATCTTTGAACCAAAGGGCTGCAACTGGAAGCTGGTTGTGGTCCGAAGTTAGCCTGAACCCCTCTTCTGCCAACATATTGAATGTCTTGCTCTCTCTCTCTCTCTCTTTCCTTCTCTCTCTCTCCATCAAAGGTATTCTCAAATACAACTCTTGCTACTGAACAATGTCTGATATTAAATGTTAAAGAATAAATGCTGGTGGTCAGAGCTCCTCTGCTGAAGAGAACTTCCAGCTCTTGGTGATGGGAATCCGTTAATTTAGGACAACCCTTCTGCTGAGAACAAATACTAAAAGTAGATAAAATCTTTTAAAAACTGCTCTTGAAGGCATCATTAAGTCTTGTTAGTGAGCTAACAAAAAGAATTATTAAAGAAAGATCTAGAAGCCAGACCAAAGGTCCAGAGAGGTAAGCCCAGTAGCTGGGCCCCTCCTCCTCCGGGAGTGTGTGTTGACTCTAGAGAAGCGGCTGAAAGGTCCAGCAGCACATTTGTAGGGCTTGGTGTCCCAGGAAGGGAGTGCAGAGCTGAGCAAAATAGGGGTGAGCCAGTGTACAGGGATGGTCTGATGAACCCATTTCCTTTTGGGTTGGGGTCACAGAAAGGCTGTACCGTAGGAGCAAATGGACAGCAGTAGATTGCTCTCAAAGAGGCTGCAATTCAGCTCAAAGGTCTCTCAATGTCTGGAACTGGATTAGGTAACTCCAAGTGTTGGCCTTCCTACATGCACAGCAGAAGCAAGCATACATCCTTTCTGGAGCAAGGCAATATTATTCTAGTCTTCAAATTCTTTTAGCAAAGAATTTTTCAAAACTAATGGTCAGCACACAATAAGAATTAACAAGCACAGAGAAGAGAAGAGAAACTAAGAGAAAGAGTAGGCAATAGAAACAGACTTACAGGGACTATAGAAACGGGAGTTGCTGGACATGAACTTTAAAATATCTATGCACGTGTATTTCAGATGACAAAAGCCACTATGGAGAATTTTGGCAGAGAAGGAGAACTATGTTTTTAAAGAGTATTCCAGAACTAAAAAATACAAAAGTCTATTTTTAAAACTCAGTGGATTTAAAAATAGATTAAATTAATCTGAAAAGGTAATTATGGAATTTATGAACTGGTGAAAAGAAAATGTCCAGAATGAAGCATGGAGAGACCAAACAATGGAAAGTAGGAGAGTAAGAAACAGAGAAGATGTGGTGAGAGTCTAACACACATACACTTGGCATGTCAGGAGAGCCGAGGGAAAACAAGGCAGAGACAATATTTAGAGATATAACAGCTGAGAACTTTACAAAAATGCTGGAAAATATTAAGCCATAGATTTAAAAGGTTCTATACCCCTAAGCCAACTACATTAAAAATATATATATCATATGTATTTTATATTTTTGTATACGTGTGTATATCTATCTACACACATTATCCCCACATCTAAGCACACTATAGTGAAAATACTAAAATAAATAAATAAATAAATAAATAAATAAAGACAAAATGCAGATCTTAAATGCAACCAAAGGGGTAAAAAAACAGATTACCTTCACAGGAGTAACAGTTGAACTTAAAGTGGATTTCTTCATAGAAACAACAGAGGTAAGTAGTTAACTAAAAGAAAGTAAAAGCCGGCCTATATCCAAGGAAAACGTCCTTTAAGAATGAAGGTGAGTAAGCTTTGCGCAGTGGCAGTATCAGAACCAATGAGGTTTATCCGAGGCACGATTATTGCTAATTGAAAGAATGAAGGTGAGTGAGGGGCACCTGGGTGACTCAGTGGGTTAAGCGTCTAATTCTTGATTTCAGCTCAGGTCATGAGCTCAGGGTTGTGAGATCGAGCCCCGTGTCAGGCTGTACACTCAGCTCAGAGTCTACTTGAAGATTCTCTCTTCCTCTCCCTCTGCCCCTCCCTGCTGTTCGTGTGTGAGCTCTCGCTCTCTAGAATAAATAAATAAATCTTTAAAAAAAAAAAGAATGAAGGTGAAATGAAAACATCTTCAACTAAACAAAAACTAAGAGAATTAATTAATTAGTTAATTAGTTTCAGGTCCTCAAAAGGTATTATTAAGAGAGTGAAAAGATGAGCCACATGACATGGTTCTTGGTCCCGATCTAGCTGGGCTTGACCACTGTTCAGTATCTCAAGTCAGGTGGCCGTATCGCCACCCAAACTAGTATAAACAGTTAAGGAGACAGCGCATATGTCGATTCTGAAATGTCCTCGCTTTCTCCTTCATAGGTAGGGGAGACCTGAGGCAAATCATGATAAGAAAATATTGGAAAAAGAAGTTAGGGGGCGCCTGGGTGGCTCAGTCGGTTAAGCGGCGGCCTTCGGCTCAGGTCATGATCCCAGGGTCCTGGGATCAAGTCCTGCACCAGGGAGCCTGCTTCTCCTTCTCCTCCCTGCTTGTGCTCTCTCTCACTATGTCTGTCTGTCTGTCTCTCAAATAAATAATAAATAAAATCTTAAAAGAAAAAGAAGTTAGGTGTGTTCAGGGTTAACTAGAAAGCCCCAAATTCCTGTCCAAGTGGATGTCCTCGGGGCTATTGAGAAGACAGCAGAATTCTCCAGATGGACATAGCAGGCACCATGAATTGAGCTGAATTCCGGAGACCTCTTGCTCCTCCCACTGTGGCAAGGTCTCAAAAACATTTTCCTGACTATTTTGACTCTCCCAGCTTCCTTAGCTGTAACATTTGTGAGTCTTCATATCCATTTTCTGAAGCTGCTGTAACAAATTATCAAAAACTTAGTGGCTTCAAAAACATAGTTATTGTCTTGCAGTTCTAAAGTTAGGAAGTCTTACAGGAGTCTCATTGGGCTGCAATCAAGCTGTCAAGAGCGGTGTCTTCCTTTCTGGAGGCTCGAGGGGAGAATCCATTTCCTTGCCTTTTCCATTTTCTTGCCATGTGAGTTGAGTCCTCACATGGCATCACTCCAGTCTGGTTGCCACATCTCTTCCCCCGACTCTCTCCTGCTGCCCCATCTTCCACTCTAAGGATTCTTGTGATTACACTGGGGCCACAGAGAATCTATCTTAGGATCGGCTGATTTACAACATTTAATTCCCCTTTGCTATGTAACCTAACACAATCATAAGTGCCAGGGGTTAGAGCGCAGCCATCTTTGGGGGGCCAGCATTCTGCCAATTGCATTGCTGCACTAGCCAGTTAGGCTTGCCTCCTCAACAGCCCCTCCAGTCAGCATGGGTGTGCCCAGGTGCGTGTGCACGGTTCATTCAGATTTGAACTAGGAACCGCTGATGGCCAGAGACATGAGGAAAATTTCTAACGTAAGGGACAGAAACAAAAATAAACAGATGAGAGAAAATTAAGGGAGAAAAGAAATGGAGGGGACAGAAGAAAAATAATAAAAACTCATTTAATATTTTAGAGACCTAGGTCCTGCCTGGATCCACTAATAAGAACAAAAAGATATAAATGAGGAGAACACTCAGAGAATAGGAAAGAACTGTTGGAAATAAAAAATATAGAAGTATAAAAATTCATTGTAGGGATTCATTTTTAAATGAGTCAATGTCCCACAAAGTAAAACAGAAGGTCACAGATGGACAATAGAAGAGAAAAGAGAAGAGAAATAAAATCAAAGATCAACTCAGAAGTTCCAACATCCAAATAGCAAGTGTTGGGAAAATAACTGAGAAGAAAATTTAAAGAAAATGTTTTAGAACCTCAGAACTGAAGACCGTGTATTTCCTATTTGAAAGGGCCACTGAATGCCCAGCAGAATTAGTTTTAAAAGACCTCCACCAAGATACATCATCATTAAAATTCAGAAAACCAAGAAAAAGGAGATCATAAAAGTTTCCAAAGAGGAAAATAGTTCACATATAAAGACTCGGACATCAGACTTCTCAACAGCTAGATTTGCCACAGAAGACAAAAACAAACGAAGAAACCAAACAACAACAACAACAAAAGATATTCAAAATATAAGGGGAATTGATTTTCGGTCTAGAATTCTATATTGATCTAAACCATCAAAAAGGGTAATGGTAAGAAAAAAATTTTTTTTCAGAGATGCAAAGTCACAAAAATTATTTCCCTTGCACCATTTTCCATCACAAAGAGGGAATAAAATAAGACAGGAAGGTGGGATTCAGGAAATAAGGGATGCCCTGCAGAGAGGTCAAGGGTAGTCCCACAGCAATCACAGCTGTGAAGCAGGTCCAGAGAACCACCGTTCTAGATTTGAGTTGGAAGAGGAAGAGCTCTAGGGGACACCTCTTTATCTAGCCCCGATCTCCAAAAAGAAAAACACACAGAAACAGAGAACATCTGATGTGTGGAACCGTATCGAGAGGAAATTTATAGTACCACACAGACGCTGAGGATGGATTAATGAATACATAGAAAGTACTGGGTATGATTAAAGGGCTCTGCACTGTAACTAGGATTAAAAATGTAGATGGAGTGCGTATTCGTGTGTGTTGTTGGGCAGGGATGGGGCAGTAACCAGACACAGCACCAGCCAAAGAAGATCAGCCTCAGCTTCCTTAGTGGGAAGTTAGTACATGATGTTTTAACACTGAAAAATCAAGAAATAGCACATTTTTTAGAAACTGGGTGGTAAATACCAGAAGAGACACCTAAATGAATTGGAAACTGGGTGGTAAATACCAGAAGAGACACCTAAATGAATTGAGAAATGTTGTCTTGAGAGGTGGTAGAAATTGGAAAGTGAATGGTAACTGATGTTTTATTATAAAGGCCTGTGATTCTATTTGACTTCTAAAACTAATCACATGAATCGGTTCCATTACAGCAAAGTTGTTACAGATGACAGCCATGATAATAAATGTCTATAAATGTATACACTGGCTTGAAAACCTTCAGCTCGGGGCACCTGGGTGGCTCAGTCAGTTAAGCGTCTGCCTTCAGCTCAGGTCATGATCCCGGGGTCCTGGGATCGAGCCCCACATCGGGCTCCCTTGCTCAGCCGGGAGTCTGCTTCTCCCTCTCTCTCTCCCTCTGTGCTCTCTCTCTCTGTCTCTCAAATAAAAATAAATACATCTTTAAAAAAAAAAAAGGAAAACCTTCAGCTCTAGGGAGGTTTTGGACTAATTCTCACATCCCACTAGACACACCTCTACCTCTCACTTCCATGGTACCTTGCTCTGTTCTTGTATATCACTTTGTTTGTCCCTCAACACTTCTGAAATAGTCATGACTGCAAGTACTAGTCCCATTTTGCAGATAAAGCAACTGAGTCTTCAAAGGATGGAATAACTTAGCAAAGTCACATGGCCATTGTCCTCAAATTTGGTATGGAATCAGGTGGCCATAAATATATTAGTCATGCTGTTATGAATAAAGAAGCCGTGGTGGAGCACCTGGGTGGCTCAATCGGTTGAGCATCTGACTCTTGATTTCAGCTCAGGTCATGATCTCAGGGTCGTGAGATCTATCGAACCTGGTGTCAGCCTGCATGTTGAGCGTGGAGCCTGCTTGAGATCTCTCTCCCTCCACCTTTGCCCCCTACCCCCGCTGGTGTGCTCACTCTCTCACTCTCAAAATAATAATAATAAGTAATAAAGAAGCTGTGACCAAAACCAAAAATTCCTGACACCTAGTCCAGATCACGTTCAACTAGACAATGCTTCCTAACTGTGTTCTGAAGAAATGTTCTGTGAACAAAATGTTTGTGATCCAACATTAACATTCCTCTTACAGACTTTAATGTACTACAGTGTGGTGTGGATCTAAGCAATTCTATGGCTAAAACACCAAACAAATCTACTTGATCCATTATTTTACAAACCTTGGGGTCACGTGATCTTTGGGGGCTGGGGGCTGGGAGACTCCCGTTAACAATGAAGATCCTGCAACAATACTTGGGTGACGGTGGCCTGGGGCGGGGTTAAGCCCAGACAAGCCGAGGAGTGACAGGCCGGACTGACAGGGCCTAGAAGGGAAACTGGAGGGATGGCTCCTAAATCATGGATGACACTGAATCTTCTGGAAAGTTCTTTGTAAAAATACAACTTCTCTGGCCATCAAAGAGACATGTAATTTAGCAGCGTGTAGAAATTTGTATTTTAAAAAAAAGGTCCACAGGGAATTCTGGCGAGCATCCAGCTTTGGCAACAGAGACGCCGGGCTCTACGCAACGGTTTATGCCATTTCCTGAAAATACCAGTAAACAGTATTTGAAAACTTAAAATCATAAACTCATCCTTTGAAAGTGTGGAATCTCACAGTGAAAGCAAGCCCCCACGAGAGTTCTCCAGACAGATGACGTTTTTATCGAAGTCCTGTGCGCGCCCTTCAGATCTTTCCCTTCCCTTTTCAGCGCTGGTTCCAAAGCAGCAGCTTCTCCCGTCAGCTCCCAGCATTTGCTGCAGGCCACTGCCCTTAAACTGCTCTTGTAAACGGGGGAGGAAGGGGGCCGGGGGGAGGAAGGCAATGCCGAAGAAAGCGCTGTTGAATCAGGTGGGGAGGACCCTGCCGAGAAACGGAACACTTGCCAATGAAAAGTGTGTCAACAGCACCATCTGGTGGCTGCTTCAATTTCTGGGCAGTAAGCATGTGGAGGCCCAACTGCGCGGGAAGAGAACCCTTGTGGTTACAAAGGACGGTCTTCTCCTGGGGGGCTGAGTGTGGGCAAAATAACAAAGTGCTCTGAAATTGTTGTTTCCGTGACCCCCTTCTTTCTTAAACATCGTTCATTCGTCCGTCTGTTCATTCAACAAGTACATACCATGGGCAAAGTGCTCTTGGAGCTTACGAATTAGTGAAGAGACAATTAATAGATAAACCAGTAATTACAAATAATTTCCAAGTGATACGTGCTA